AAAGGAGTTAGAGCCGAATTAACCGCATAAGAGTCATGCATTTTTTTTGAGTCATGCGTTTTTCCCCAAGTTCGTAAGACAGGACTTGGAATCTTAGATCAGACATATAGCAAGCTAGAGCTTTGATGTTTCGCTCATACCGTCCTGAGGTATGATGATAGCCCTGGATGTGGGAACAATGCTTGCTGCACTTAGCTTGGAAGCCGCGGCCGCTATATGGTCTTTGCAGCGGGAGTCGTTTGTGGCAGCCTGCTGTGACCTGCTGCTGTCTGAGTCGGCGTCGTGAGCATGCTGATTTTCAGAGTCGTTTGAAGAAGGAACCTTCTATCACGGTGAGTGATATACCATTGCCCAAGACGTTGTGGCAGTGTGAGAAGGTCAATCTCCCAGTGAGTGGGAGCAAGGTTCATTTGAATCCGTCTTGCTAAGGAAAGACTTGTGTTCGAAATGTCTGTCCTTACTGAAGAAGAATAAGAAGGCTTGATGTCAGCCTGTTGTTCCGAGCGAAATGTCCAAGAAGGGGTGAAGAAATCCATTTGTTGGATGGCCACCTCGCTCCTGCTTGTTGTTTTGTTTGGTTTTGTTTATTTTGTGTTGTTTGGTTCGTGTTCAGAGAGGGAGAGAACCGGACTTTAACACTGGAGTTTGTTTCTTGAAGCTTTGAAAGAGTTCTTTAGCGTTCTCGAGTGTTTAGAAGCTTTTTGTAAAGAGTTGCTTGTGTGTAGTATGCATATGTACAGTCTTTGTGCGACTGTTACTTTTGGCTCAAGTGTGAGTAAGAGGGCGCGAGGGAGTGCACTGCGTTAGCTTGAGGTGTTGTTTGCTTGGAGAGTTTCGAGAGTGTGAGAACGAGTTTTGGAGTGTATTGGACTCACCGAGTGAGCCTGGTGTGAGCTTAAAGATCCACGGGAAGTGTAGTTTACCGTAAGGTCTGCTACCCACGTTTTTTCGGATGGAATCTTGTAAGGTTCCAGGTACTTGCAGGGTATGTGAGTTGCTCCTGTTTTTACAGCGCAAATATGAACAGCTTCTAAGGTTTTCCATCTTGGCCTTGCAGTAGTGTCCTATTTTGTTTGGAAACCGAGTTGTTATAAGCTTGCTACTGGCCGTTAGAAGGTTTTGCATATACTGAGCGATATCCATGTATAATATCAGCTGGATTCTGTACATTCTTGTGCTTGCATCTGTTCAACCAACAATCTAAGAAGGATTCCCAAATTGAGTGGCTTTCCCTAAACGTCGCTTGTTTAGACAATGGTTATTGGACCAACATCCTTGTCTAAAACCCATTAAACCGTTGGCAGAACAGAAATTAAAAAACCTTTGTTTTCCCAAGTCCAGGGGCACCAGATAGGATCTTCCTCAGCCAACAGTATGGGGTCCCAGGATATTAGTTTCATGCTGCAATCTTGCATTAAAGCCCCCTTTGTTGTTGAATTCGTTCAAAAAATGCTGTAGTGATTCGTAAAAAAAGGATTTTTTAATCGTAGCAGGAACGGAATGCAAGATTTCCATGAGTTCTCAACCGGATAGTTATCATTCTGCCATTTGTTTGCTTGACTTCCTATAGAAATGGTTTCATATTCGGTGAATAAAAATGCAAACTCCCGTGTGCTCCCTATCAAATTTCCCGGTTGGATATCACTGAAGAGACAAGTGAATTCATTATATATGAGTTTCAACACTGGAAATTTAAATCTGGGTTTCTGCTAGCAGTAAGATATGTAAGCATTCTTTTCTAAGCAGTTGCCTCTCGGACCATAAGTTGTCTCGTCAGGGATGCTATTCGGACCATTGAGTCCGAGAGACCCTTTGCTTTAAGACACCGAGATAGATCACCCACATGTTTATAAGTCTCCAGTCTCCCTATAGAAACTCTTGAAAACATTCCTCTGTTGAATGCCTCTGGTTTCCTGAACCTTTTTGGGCCTTACCTTCCCATGTAAAGATTTGAAGTATCTCCATAGTCTACGCTTTTAAGCTTCTGTTTTGTAACAACGTCTTATCTTTGGGGAAGGGGATTGGGGGAGTTTCACTCCCTGCAAAAGAGCTGCAAGGATCCCAGCACACCAACTTGACAGTACTGTGTTTCGGAAGTGTTCGGGGTCTTTGAACATAGGCCTTACAGAGAGTCCGGTCATGCTGGGCCAAGTTCCTTTTTCTTTCCTATTCAATTCTTTCTTAATTCCTTTTCCTCTTCTTCTTTCTGCTCTAATTCCTTCACTTCAGCTCTCACGTAGAGAGAGCTTTGTCAAAGATCTTCGTTATTTGCCTGCTTCTCGCCCCGTTTTGCAGCTCGCATGGTGTAGTAGTCCTCGTTGCTTCTCATGACCGCGAATTTCAGCATGTATGGGTAATGTCTACATTGAGGATGCTTAGTTTTGGTGTTGGTTTCCTTCCATCCCTGCACCCAGTTGTCATTGATGATGTCGAAGTAGTCGTTGTGGATGTGAAAGTGCATGTACTTGGAATCTTCCTTGTCTCGAAGTAGTTGAATATCGCGGCATTGTCTGCCACTCTCATTGCCAGTTTGACTTTGACTTCTCTTTCCATGTCACTGGTCTGCGATGTGAAGCTGATTCTCTGTGGCTGATTGCCGAAGTAAACTGTCTTGTCGCTTGTGTCCCAGATGGTCACTGGGTATTGCTTGTTGTAACGTTTGTAAATGCATGCTTCGAATGTGTGTTTAGCCCATTCGCTGTTCCAGTGCATGATGGTCTGGTGATCTGTCTTTGGTAGCGGCCGTACGTGTATTTGCAGTTGTGGGGCAGTGTCCTTCAACTCCAGCTGTTTGCACGTACCGGCTGATGACGCTCATCGGTGAACTCTTGCGGCCATCCTTTCGCCACGGTTTCTTTGGCTTCTCTTTGCTGGCTGCTATCAGTTGTGGACATGCTCAGTCAGGATATTCACATCTCTGTCATTGCTCAAGTCTTCAGTGTATTTTTGTACTTCCTTCATGTTCTGCTGAAGATTGAGGATTTGTTGCAGCATTTCCTGCGGATATGGTGGCTGAGGAGTGTGCCTGCATTTTGATCATAGTTGCTCGGGTTGCTCGGATTTGCTCTCGCAACCGTTTGCTCAGGTCTGTTGCTTCTTTGGATGCAGCTGATTCCTTTTTCGCTGTCTGTGGGCTTTCACTCGCATTGTTCTCTCTTGTATGTTCGTGTGCTGCAGCTTCCAACACGTTCCTTGGTGCTCTTTTGTGTAAAAGATCTTGTACATGGAGGATCCTAATGTGCCTTTTGTTCATCTTTCTCTTCTCCACTTTTCTTGGTTTTGGATGGTTTTGGTCACGGTCTGTCTTTCCATCGACGATGGAGCTTCTGCCCCTACATCCATGTCCGAACTCTTCGCTCCGCTCATGACGATCCCCTATCAGGGACTTTTCATTTCAATTTCAACATTAACATGGGCCTAATGATTTGATTCCCCAGTGGTGTTGAGACTTCCATGTCTGGAATCCCTGTACATCTATGGCAGCCACTTTGAGCTCACTCAGTGATCAAGCACAAAAACCAAACACCTGCAGAAACGTCTATGATGGAGCCCATTGGTGTGCGGCTGCGTCCGGAGCTAGGTTGCGTGCAGATTCGTGGCATATCATGCCGATTGCCAGGCTGCTGCGTGCCGGGGTGAATGGAATGCTCTATGTTGACAGCCACTGCTAGGACACGAAGCTAAGCTACTGTAGCCATGAGCCTGTAGCTGCAGCTGTTGTACTTTTTGGTGCCTTTGCTTGATTCAGGCAAAATGGAGGTTGGCAGCATTGCCGAAGCGCTGAAGCAGAACGTTGACGGCATCACGAGAATCCCTTCTGATCGGTTTGATCTTGGCAACCTCCCTGCTGATGTGCCTCAGATGGGAGGATTTTTGGATTCACATCCAGGCAGGGTGCTGTGTGTGATTGTGAAAGCCTCTGCTTCAGATTCTGTTCCCAGAGTCTTATGTTCCATCTGGATAGTCGTGACTTCGGGAGGCTATGTGGACCGCGAAGCGTTCAAGCTGAACCCAACTCAGGTGAAAAGCCAAGATCCACAGCAGTTCTTGGCGTTGGAGTCTGCCTTTGAAGCATGCAATTCGGCAGGCTTCTTCAAGCACAAGGAGCATCGGGCAAGAATGTTTGTCCTGTTTTGTCCTATAGGGTTTTCAATTGAACTTTATCCTGTCCAGACAGAAAATTGAAAGGATTTAAATTCAAACATGCTGTATCTACGCTCGCAGTGTGTCTTCTTTCTGCTCTTGGTCTGCTGCCACAACAAAGGAGCGCATGACAGAGGTTGCTGTCTTTGTTGGTGCAATGAACTTGGACAGCAACTTGATGTGGCCTGGCTTTGCATCATGTCTTGTAGTTTGCCTGTGGGTGGTGGCTGTGTTGCTGATGGTGCAAAGGAGGTTGTTTCTTCTCGTTTGCAGGAGGGCCTAGAATTGCTCATGCAATAGCTTTTGTTGATTAGTTAGGCCTTTGGTGAGGCCACCCTTTGGTGATGGCACATTCAACATATTAGCACTTTGTTTGTAACGCTGCGTCATATTCATATCAAGGTGGAACATGGAAGCCTGCAATGGGTACACAGCTGCTGGCAACGCATCGAGCATGATCAATGGTGCTGTGTGCCTCGGGGAGCAAGAAAGCCTGCAACCATCCGGCTAGCTTAGATCCATTTGATTTCTTTCAGTTCCATCGAAAAGCGTTTCAGTTCCAACACTGCGGGAACCTGAGGTCCTTTGCCTTTGACTTTCGAGGGGCGTCTGAATGCATCGACACTGCCTGCGCATCTGGCTTATCTGCCTTGGCCTCTGCAGAGTCCGAAGTGCAGAAGGGTGCGGAGGGAGCCATAGCCATTGGTTTCTTGGTCGGATTTGTTCAACAGTCCACCAAGGGAGCATGTTCTTCGAATAGTTTAGTCCTAGGATTTTTTTGATGGTTGAAGAGGGAGATAGGCTTCTATGCAATGAGAGTGAAATGATTGCAATGCACTTGGCCTCTTGCCTTGCTGGGAATGCAGGAGTGAATGCCATCTTGAGTTGGAAGATTCCTTTTGCATTGAACAAAGCTCGAACCTTGTCTGCTTCTGACTTGGTTGTTGAGTGCAGTCATCTTTGTCTAGTTTTCAGGGTTGGGGAATTCTGGTTTCACTTGCCGGAGACCTAGGGATGATCAGTGATCGGTGCATGAGTTTCCATCAAGATGGGAAGGGCTATGGTCGGGGAGAGGGAGTCGCTGCTGTTGCCCTGACAATGTCCGCAGGCGCGGTTCAGGAAAATTGCTTGATAGAGTGAGGTGAGTCATTTTTGGGTCTGTGAAAGGGCTGATAAGCAGGTCAGTGAAAGCGAGAAATGGAGTGAATACCAGAGTCTTCTTTTCCTTACTTTCGTGTATCTTATTCAATGTGTGAAATTGAAGCCGGTGCTCACCTTGTCATTCGTTTCTTTCTGGGGCAGGTTGCAGTGTCCCGTACGCGCAACTCCTCAACATCTGCCGAAACAACGATGGCCGGTCAACAGACACCATCACGAAGCCCTCTCCAGACCAGCAGCTGAGCTGCATGAAAAAGGCTTGGCAGGGCCGGGCGGCTGTGTGCCAGGCCGTTGAATGCCATGGCACAGGTACTCCAATTGGTGATCCCATTGAAGTTCAGAGCGTCGGCAGGATGTTTGGACAGCCCAATGGGTCAGGAGTTGCAATTGGAGCGATCAAGTCCAACATCAACCACACCGAATCCGCTGCGGGACTTGCTGGTTTGATCAAGGCTGTTCATGTCGTGCAGTTGTCTGGCATGTTTCCACATGGAGCTGGCTTCTGGAGCCCCAAGAAGTCCATTAACTTGGAGACCGGTGGAAAAGGTTTGATCCTTTCAACGGAGTTCCAAGCACTGCAGATCCAGGGCGTAGGGGTCAACTCCTTTGGCTTCTCCGGTACCAACGTGCACGCGGCATTGATTCCACCAGCCCAGCTTGAAGACGACGCAGGACCCTCGCCTTTCTCAAGACATGTTCGGACGCCGATTGTGGTGCCAATTTCATCTCACAGCCCGGGCTCTTTGAGAGTGTCGATGGATGACTTGTGCAAGGAATTGGAGACAGACTTCAGTGACGCAAAGCTCTACCAGGTGGCTCGGCAAAGTGCTTACCGAGAGGTTCGCGCCTGTCGAAAGGCCTTCCTAGACCAGACCCGCGACGCGCTGGCGAACAGCTTGAAGACCAGCGTGGATGGGGCAGAAGAACCGGAAGCTTCAACAACCAAGCCCAAGAGATTGGTGCTAGTTGTGCCTGGCAATGGATGTCAAGTGCCAAAGATGCTGTCGAAGAAACATGGTGGAGCTGAGTGGGAGTAGAGCGGAGCTTTTCTGTTTTAGGTTTGAGAAACTCTTGGTCATTGGCTATTGGTGTTTCTTTCTTTGTTGCCAAGGACACTGGAAGCGTTCCCCATCGCAGAACAAAAGTTCCAGGAGCTAAAGGAAGCTCTCAGCGGGCAGGACCTGGAGCTAGATGCCTTGCTGTCTGCAGAAAAGCTTCCGGAATCCGTTTTGGAGCAACAAATCATGCTCTTCGCGTTCTCGATGGTTCTATCGGACCTTTTGCAGGGTCTAGGTCTTCAGATTCATGCAGTTGTGGGGCACAGTGCTGGGGAGCTGCCCTGTGCATACCTGGCTGGCGCCCTGACTTTGCAGGATGCAGTTAACCTTTTGTCCCTCGGCAAGCGCCTAAGAAACCAGGGCGTCCCAAATTGGAACACACCACTGGAGTTTCAAAACCGTGAGAACGCTCAAAAGAACAGTCACATCTTCAACGCACCTCCCAGTCTGAATGTACAACAGCCATTGTGCCGCAAAAGTAGTGCATGGATGCTGTGACCTGGTTAAGCTGCGAATTCTTTGCATCGTCTCATTCCCAGTTGGCTCGCCCCTCACAGGTTTCGAGAACAATTCCAATTTGATGCATCCCACCCGGCCTCACCCTTGTCCCTGATGTTTGTGAGTCCGAAGTGTTGAAATTTCCATAGGCCACATTCACTCCATCCCACCGCGCGATGACATGCACACAAGGAAGGCCCACGTGCGGTGCCTCATGTGTTCTGACTTGTTGTGTTGATCTGTTTTGGACGGACAACTTGTCCATCTCCTCGAACGCATGTGCTGCTTCCGACCATACATGTTTTGAGTTCAGGGTGCATACTTGATGCTTGAGTTCCTATCGATCATCAAAGCGCAATTTTAGGCCCGGGAGGCAGCAACCGATATTGGTTCCCAACACCAAAAGGCACCATCCAAAAACACATGTTGAAATGTTTTCCTCCCAAAATGGAATGCAAACACCAAGACATTTCGGTGTTGACCTGTTGTCAACATAATTCGGCACGTGCTGCTTTTTGGCCAACTCCGAGTATTTTTTTGGCAGTCCTCCTTGGAAGACACAGGCTGCAACCCAATCAAGGGGCAATACTGATGCCATGTTGTATAGCAAGCAGCCAAGGTTGGCAAAGGTGGATGGCAACGTGCGGCCAGATGGAGGCATGGCAGTGGTGCGAGAGATGGCCGTTGCTTGGCAGTGCAGGGGGCCGGTGGGAGCAGCTGAGCAATTCCTAGAGGGCATTCTCTAGTAAGATGTCTCAAGGTTGAACATCATTCGACATGTGAGTTGGTGCAGGATCACTTTCTAGACGTTTTGCAAAACAGCAGAATAACAAAACAAACATTTATCTGAATCTATTTTGAGAACTGATAAGCTCTAGGACATGGTCATTATTTCCAGGTCTGCTAGTGATCAAGCTGGTTCAAGAATAACTCTTTCCAGCGCCTTTAGAAAATGCTTCTTTATGGTTTTTGTTCCCCCAATTTATTGTAACTCGCAGTGGAACCTGTACAAGATCATTTTATAGAGCCCCAAATATAAAAAAAGGTCTTGAATGGCTGCTTTCCTAGAACACCTAGCGTATTCAGCGTCTCAGCGTTTCTACTTGGCCGTATTTGTTCACCTGGTGAGACCTTGAACTGCGTAGTTCCTGGTGGGTTTCCGCTTTCGGAATGGGTTTGTAAGGCGAGGTCTTTGCTGAAAAGGAGCGTTCCGGATGCATGTTTCTCGTTGTCTCTTAGGTGGCAGACGTTGAGGGAATCCTCAAGAAGTTCAACCAAAACATGATGGTCGACTCCGCCAAAATTCACATCGCTGCTCAAAACAGCGACCGTTGTTGCACCCTCACCGGCCCGAAGGATTCGATGCGCCAGCTGAAGCCCCAGTTTCAGGCGTGTTTTTGGGTTTTGGAGCGCCTGGGATGGGTTTGGGTAGGGGTCTTTGTGATTTGGTAGGGGTCCATGCCGTCGAAGGAGAGGTGGATGGACCTGGAGAAGGTTCCTGCTGCATACCATCACCCAGAGCTGTGTAAGCCTGCGGCAGAGTCCTTCAAGCAGAAGTTCAAGCCAGCCCAAAGCTCTCCGCCTTGTGAGCATACAGCTTCACAGACTTTCCCAAAGTTCTTTTCCACTGTGGAGGGATGCGAGCTTGAGCTTCGCAAGTTGGGTCTGGAGTATTGGACGAAGCACACTTTGGAGAGGGTCAGGTTCTCACAGGCCATTGATGCAATTTTGGGAGATCAAGGCGGGCAGTTGCCAAAATCAAGTGATTGCTGCAACCTCGACGAGTCATTGAAGTGGAATAGAAGTTCGTTGAAGTGTTTCCACTAATCCCGATTTCTTCCAACCAACGTTCATCGGGATGGTCCCTGAACTTCAGATGCCCGGAACTTCACTCTGTTCGCTCCGAGTCTGAGGTGAGGGAGAGCTACTCTTCTTGGAGCTGAAGAAGCAGAACGGCAGCCACATCATGCACCAAGCTCGCCAAGCGGGTAAGAACGTGACGGTCTTGCCTCTCACCGGGAGAGATGCTGGGCAGGAGGTCGGTCGGAGAATCGCTTGTCAGAGATTGCTTTGGGCTCGAAATCTTCGGGTTGCAATCTCAACGCCGAACCCCCCCTTAGTTCCTAGTAGCTTCTTGTTACTAGTAGTATGGCCAGGAGCTACGAGTAGCGA